CCTTAACACTGTCTATGCAACTCAAGAATGTCGTAGGGAAAATTTGAAAGCCCCTTTTTGTTAAAGCTTGAACGAATCTAGAGAACAATGACAGGAACGAGAAAGAAACGCCAGAAATATTGCTTTCCTTTATTGCACTTTCACTTATTTCAAAAAGTGAAATATTTATCTGGCAAATTGTAGTAATGCAATGCCTTTTAATGATGATTATGCACGAGAAAGCAATGGTTATTCAAGTTATCTACTTCAACAATTACCAATAAAGTAGCTCAAAATAATATTTACCTGACTTCTACACTCCAGTAAAAGCGTCCACTGCGGGCGTACAACTGCTCTAAGGCAATCTGCCGAGTTCCAGTCAGCATGTTTGCAACTACTTTTACGATAACAAAGGCACCTGTGGTGGTGTTTTGTTCATGTCAAGACTTACGTCTTCTTAACTACATACAATCGTCAAAGTGTTACTTGTTTTTAAATATAGGTCAAGCTTGTACCAAGAATTGGAAAGAAAAGCACCGTTCCAAAACTAGTAACCTGTTTCAGTCCTCTTAAACCTAAGCTAACAAATATTATCCACGCCTGCTAATTAATCTTATCAGTTCTTAATACAATGAATACAAAACAGCTGCTGATCATTTCAAACATTTAGGAGCAGGAGTGCCCTTAATGGTCCTTTATCCTCTTTAAATTTGAAGGTTTGCATCTCCAGGTAAGATATCAACCCTAGGACAATAAACCGACAGTAGGAGGAGTCCTTTTTTAAAAAAGTGATGCTAAAATAAAATCTTCGAGCTGCGACGGACTTTAAGGCAGTATTATACGGCTAAAGTAAAGTAGCATGTTTCCTTACTAATTTCGGGAAATTCTCATTTTGAAAAGATTCCAGGAAGAAAACTTTTTGAATTGTCGTTTTTAATTATGTAATTTATACCATGTGATTCCTGAAATTTAGCTTATATATATAATTTTTGAATTTATTTGTGGTGCATATGGAGTTGAATTTTACGGGTTGACATTCGCTTTAACCCAACCGGCTAGGAAAATTTGCCTTTGTTTAAAATGAATTTGTAAATTACGTAGCTTTGTAAAGTAGAAAAGTTTGGTTGATTACAGTTACAAATAACCACAACAAAATTCACCTTAGACCAGAATTAAAAAATTTAGGTGTTAAGAGAACCATCCCATTAAAGAGGTGTTTGCAAAGTGAATTACGAAATTAGTCATAAATACCATTCAAAATAATCCTGGGGAGAATTTTACATGCCTACACCATTTGGATAAAAGCCATTAAAAGACAGGATCACTTTGAGGCAAATTCTGTTTAGCGTCCGTGCAATTTACGCGTCTTTTATTTTCCTGCTTTAGTTAATGTGAAGGTGAAAGAATTTCGCTCTCTGCCAACCTTATCCCTAAATGAACATACCATTACAATTGGATGTCTGAAACTGAGGTTCCATTGTTAAGCAACAGGTTCATTATAAATAAATTGTCTAGCTAAACAAAGTGCTCAACTTCAATCAACCTTGACCTTCACGTCTCGTCAAAATATGACTGCTTACTTGTCGCATTTTTGGATCCACAAACTCACAAACGTTGTTTTCCTATCGGCGCAGGAGAGTGGTTTGGGGTGAAAGCCATTGTGAAGGCGTGTATCGCGGTCAAAAAGGAATAATCATGGGATGCCCATGTACCATAAATTGTTGTACATGGTGATAAATTACATTCACGAATAGAAATGAGCGTTCTAAGTGCTTGGTTGTCTTAAAAATCAAGCCAAGTTCTTAGATATACGCAAATACCTTCTTGTGATTTTAAGGCATTTTAGTTTCAAAAGCATGAGAAATCTTCGAGTAAAAAGTAAAAATTTCCCACACTTTTTCTAAAAATCTAAAAATGGAGTTCTGAGCTATTCTACTAACTATTTGGGAGAGCATAATTTTTCAAGTGCAAGATTATATGGAGTACACATTTAAGTGGGATGGTTTACGACATGAATTATCTGGATTTATGCGATTGCCAATGTAAGAGACCCTTTCAAACATCCACTTGTATGACGGTAATTAAACTTTCAGGCAGACCTTTGTAGAAAAAAGCGGCCGTTAGGTTTGAGACGCACCTACTAAGGATTTCTTTTATCTTTCTAGCAGGCCACAGCCCAAGGAGATAGTGGAAGTTAGGAAGATTTAGCACATATCACATTGCAGTTTTCAAAAGGAGAAAAGTTTAAAATAAAGCCAACAAATGCCTGAAAGTATTCTGACTTAACCTTATTGGAAAAGGTTAAAATAAACATGTGTGGTATGTGTCCTTTTAAGTCTTATGGATGGCTGCTTGTTACCAAACAGATAGCATTAGCTACATCATAAGTGGAAGATTTTCAAATTTAATAAAAGAATTGCTATTCTGTAAACCGACTGTTTCAATCCTCGAAGGCTATCGCTATAAGCTGGCCGGAAATGCAGTAAATGAGACTATTTAACCTAAATCGCACAATGATGAGTGGTTTTAAGCTAGTTTATTACTCAACGTTAATTCAAAACTTGTTGGGTCAGTTGCATATATACCAGCATACCCAGCATATCGAAAGTTTGAGTTCTCTTAATTCCACCTCCTCCACTTGGCGCACACTACTTCTTTCAGTCAAATAAACAAACTTTTACAAATTCAATTGACTTCCGAACACTTCAAAACAACAAGGCATGATCCCTACCCATACAGGTTGAA